ATACATATAAGGATCACTCCCCTGGGCGATGTGGGATGTCACAATCCACCCCCCTCAGTGGCCCGACGTCCTCGTCGGCACACCACGACCAGGGTTAGGCTCTGATACCAAATTGTCACATCTCGATCCGGGCGAGACAACTTCTCGGGCCCGACTCCACCGTAGTACGATATTGTCCACTTTAAGCCTCGACCACGCCCTCACGGTTTTGTTTCTGGGAACTCACACGAGAACTTCCCAGTGGGTCACCCATCTTGGGAATGCTCTTGCCCGAACTTGCTTAACTTCAGAGTTCCAATGGAACCTGAAGCCAGTGAGCTCCCAAAAGGCCTCGTATTAGGTAGAGATGAGAATATACATATAAGGATCACTCCCCTGGGCGATGTGGGATGTCACAATCCACCCCCCTCAGTGGCCCGACGTCCTCGTCGGCACACCACGACCAGGGTTAGGCTTTGATACCAAATTGTCACATCTCGGTCCGGGCGAGACAACTTCTCAGGCTCGACTCCACCGTAGTACGATATTGTCCGCTTTGAGCCCCGATCATGCCCTCACAGTTTTGTTTCTGGGAGCTCACACAAGAACTTCCCAGTGGGTCACCTATCTTGGGAATGCTCTCACCCTGAATTCGCTTAACTTCGGAGTTCCAATGGAACCCGAAACCAATAAGCTTCTAAAAGGCCTTGTGTTAGGTAGAGATGAGAATATACATATAAGGATCACTCCTCTGGATGATGTGGGATGTCACAGTTTTCATACTTTTTTCATTAGTTTTCCTTTAATTAAAAGAATTCAATATCGTTTTTCCTTTTTACTGCTCCTAATTCGTATCTCAATTTTTTCTTCCACCTCCATCACATATTAACCATGTTAACTAATCTATGTTGTAGGTACTATATATATCTGTATATATACTATGGTATGGATTTATAAATATATAAAAGAAAATTTTCTTTTGAACTATTTTTATGAATTATAGGTAGATTAATTTTTATTTATTTTTATAAATTCCTCCATAACATGTTAAATGTATTTATAAACATATGATATAGCTACCACATCTAATGACATATAATTTTTTTTTTTTTTTTTAACTATTTGTCATGAAAGTCGTTAGATTCTTTTATTCATATTAGAATTTGAGTAAAAATACATAAATTAAGATAATTAATTGACTAAATCCGACATTAGCTCAAATGTCTAGACCTCGATCAAAGTATCCCTTTATAAAATAGCTATAAAAATTTGACGCCATATGGTAAAATAATTTCCTACAGTGTGTTACTTTTCTTTTTCCAATTAATATATGGCATGTGATTAAGGAGATATATTCTTTACAAGGATATATGCTTAAATAACTAAACATGAGCTCTTTCTTTTTTTTCTTTTTTTTTTAAATGCTAGGAGTAGGAGTAGGGCCTGACTTGGTAAAGCCTTGATTTCGAAAGTGGATCCTCTCCGGATCTTTTTTGTAGGGATTTTTGAAATTTTTACATCCTAATCGTTTATTGTATACCGTGTGATTATTTTTTGTTAGGTATTATTTGTGTTTAATTTTAAATATAAATATTCAATTGATTTCTAATCGCATGATGTACGATGAATGATTAAAATGTGATGATTTTTAGTATCCCCACTATTTGAATCCGGATAGAATCCAAATCCCTTGATTTGTACATTTCACTGATTATCTTATTAGACGCGGACTAGACACGTTTTTAGACTTGGTGTGGCTCCCTTAATAACAGTCAAGACGTCGTTCATGCGGTACAAACAAGGCACAAGCTTTCCATGCAAAAATTTCAAACTCCTCCGTTTCACTGTTTACGGCATTTGCTTTTGGATCTAATCTCATTATGTATGTCAAGAATCCTTATTTGTCAACTTAATATACTTTTGTTTTTTTGTTTTGTTTTTGTTCATTCTTTGTTTGTTAGTTTTGGTGAACTATACTTTTGGTTCAACCCCTACTATTCTCCTACTTTAGTTGTTGAATTATTGACTTATTTTTTGTAATTGTTGGTGTTAATACTGACAACATCGTTGTGCGTAACATGTAAATCGTTTTTACTAGAGAACGAAAGAGTTTACCCTATAACTTTACCAAAGAATTTGCCTTACAAGTTACAACTGAGACATATGTCCTCGGTGGCACAATAGATTTTCTCTCTCTTCACATGTATAACTTTGGGTACTTGCTAATAAAAATTTCTTACATGCAACCAATGGTTGTATAAGAAATTTATTTACACAGTGTGATTTAAGGCTCGTTTGAATGTGCTTTTAAAATGACTGAAAGCGTTTTTAGAAAAAATGTTTTTAGGTTTCAAAAGCACTTAAAGTGCTTTTTTCCATGATTTACTTACATCTTTACTAAATATTGGTTTTAAAAATATTTTCACCACAAGCGCTTTAATTAAAACACATTCAAATAAGCTCTTAATCTCAAGTGTTAGGTTGGAGTTTAGAGCGTCTTGACACTTGCATTATTGGACTAATTCAAGAAAATTGATAAATTAATTAACTAAGCCGATATTAATGAAGTTAGTTAATGACATAGTTGATGAAAAAACAAATCATATATTGTGAGGTTGGCATCTTGTTGTTATATATAATATATATGGTAAAAGGGAGTTGTCGAAATTGGAGTAGCTGTGGATGTAGAATGATCACCAAATACTACCTACCCAATACCATTACATTAGGAATTTACGAACAAAACAAAAAAATAACCAACAAGGAAACAACGTATATATTATAGACAAATTAAAATTATTTCTTGTATATTCAGTTTTATGTTGTATATACTCTACGTGTATGCAATGAGGAACACACCATTTGTTGGCTTAAGGGTTCGTGCTGTAGCTTTCACATTGCAGGCTTCATGAACTTCTTGAACCAATAAACGTACGCATTTTTTAGGTTTCTGACATTCTCGATTAAACTATTATTTTTTTTAATTTAAAAAAAAAAAGATTAGCTGGTGGCTTTGACACGACAGTTTACATTTTCGAGAGCCGAAAAGACTCATAAAGATATTTCAGCCTCTTTTTGACTGCTATCGTGCGATTCACCTGGTTGAACTATAACCTTTGGATATTAATTTTATGTTTTTCATTTTGGTGAGGTAGAATTGGAAAATATTGGGTATTGTCAAGGCTTCACACAACTTGTTCCCTAGGCTTTTCAATCCATCAAGGTGGCCCTAATAAATGCTTGTTCAATTTCATTGGCTCTTGATTCGGTCACCGGACATATTTTCTTTTGCGACATATGAAATGATTATATGCTTGCCCATACTACTAAATTGAAATGCAGTTAAGAATACTATCACCGTGTCTAAACTTTGATTTACATTGAAATGTAATTCTAATATTATCATCGTGTCTAAACTTTGACTTACTTGCGATACTTCCACCATTCTATTGTCTATGCAATTAAATAAAGTTCACTAGGTGATTTTAGGTAATTATTTCTTGAGACTCTTTCATTAGTTTTCTATTGTAGCTTTGTTGAGAAAGGAAAAAAAAAAGCTTTTATAGCAGTACAAAAAAATCATGCCCCTTTTGTAAGGTTCTTTCAATATGAGTTTTATCTGGATTGGTTTTAAATGGGTTTAGGCTCAGGGCTTTGAATTTTACGCTCTGAGTCGGCCCATAAGCTTGGGCCTTTAGACCATGTTCTTAGGCTGGACCTTATATGATCCGACGTAATATAAATACTTTTGAACTTTCTTTAAAATAATTAACTTTATTTTAATACTTACTTAATTGACTATACTATGTTAACCAAACAAAAATCAAATAGTTGAATGGCCAAAAACTGGGCCGAGATGGGCGGCCTGCTCATAAGCCCAAATTTTTTAAGCCGGTGGGCTGGCCCAAGGCCTCACATAATGGACATAGGATTGACTCGGCTCATTAATTTATAGGGCCCAAAAATTTAGAATCCAGTATGATCTTTTAGGCCCGGCTCGGCCCTTGTTACATTTTCACGAGGTACGCCACTACATGTTCGCCGTTGAAGATTCCGGATCCTCGTCTGACCCTCTTTATGAGGATTCTAGGAATCCGTGAATCGTATTCATTCATCGTACATCGTACGGTTAGAAATCATTTTAAATATTTTTATTTAAAATTAAACACAAACAGTACCTGATAAAAATTGACCGCATGATGTACGATGAACGGACACGATTCACAAATCCCCAAGATTCTCACCAAAAGAACCCGAAGAGGATCTTGTTGGGCTGTCGAAAATTTGTGCTAGCATCAAGCGGGGGCAGTAGGTATGTATGGAGTGACGCATCTTTTGCTTTAATCACGAGTACGAGTGAGAAATCAACCTATTAAATTGTTTGAGCATTGACCTAGACCATCACTTTGACTGTCATTCGTGACCACGTAATGCAACTTGAGTATTTTCGATTTTGAATGAAGAGAAAAAAAATACGCAATTAGAATTATCAACTTATCGTGGATAATGATTGAAGACTAGAATGAACATATATGGTCATGCTAGTCGACCTCGAAACCTTTTCAAATACTGAAGATGGAAGTGTTTAATGGTCGCATGCTCAAAATTTGTAGTCAAAGAAGATGGAGATGAGATTCAAGTGTGACCACATGTAAAAGGTAAACAAAACAAAGAAGTAATCACCAGTTAAGTTTTCTTCCTGAGGCTGTGGATCGATCGTACTCCTTCCTTCCATAAAAGTGAAAGTGAAAGTGGGGCCCATTCCACACGGTCTGCAAAACACAGCAAACCAAATGGACACAATCCCCATCTTGCAATCTCACTTCCTTATCTTCGCCCCCCTGCCCTCTCACTTTTCTTGCCCTTCCGTGTTCTTCTGTTTTGTGTGGTCATGATTAAGTCACATTAATATTTTATATTATTTTTTTATAAAAATAATAAGATAAAAAAGAATAGTAATATAAAATATTAACGTAATTTAACCGTGACCACACAAACAAAATAGCACAAGAAGTGAGAGGGCAGACCACTTTAAGAATCCTGCTCTGCTGTCCTCTCTCTGCCCTGCAAACAGAGGTAGAAGCATGGCAGCCGCACTCAGCCTCCTCAGACTCCCCATTCTTCCCCAAAAGTCCACTCAATGCCTCTCAAAAATCCAACAGAGTTCATCAATCCCAACAAAACCCAGCAATGCCAAGGACTCAACAAAACTCCTCACAACCACCACTGACCGCCTTAAGTCAACTTCTCTCCCACTTACAGCTCTCACATTGCCCTTTTTGTTGGACACCAAGGCAAGTGCAATTTAGTAATTAAATAAAGATGAGAACTTTCCCAATGTTGTTTATGTATAGGAAGTGATTTTGGCACACCGTTTTCTCCTTATTCGTATCTCCCATGTCATTTTCGCATGTTCTTCCTTTCTAATTTGGATTTTTGAGAGGTTTTTTGTTTTCTTTTCAATTTTGGGGTGTGGATTAGAATGCACTTGCTGCAGGTGGGGAGTTTGGGATACTGGAGGGAAGGACATTTGCGCTGATTCACCCAATTGTGATGGGAGGACTGTTTGTGTACACATTGTGGGCAGGCTACTTGGGTTGGCAATGGAGGAGAGTGAGGACAATCCAGGAAGAAATTAATGAGCTCAAGAAGCAGGTGAAGGCTACCCCTGTCACACCCGAGGGGACTCCAGCGGAAGCTCCCCCATCTCCTTTGGCACTCAAAATTCAGCAGCTCACTGAGGTAGGACGCATTGTCTTAAACACCTGTCTTTTTGAAAAACGGGGGCTCCTTAAGAAAACCTCACTTATGACTTGGATTTTAGATTTGAAGTATCAAATTTAGGGCGGTTTTAAACTTAAAATCTAAGCGATCAACCAGCTAGAGACTAGAACCTATAGTATAAGGTTTTATACCCTAAAACAATCAACCATGTCCATTAATGAGATCAACCGAGAACAATTTTAACATATACATGTAAATTAATTTTGATTATGTGTGTGGCATTCGTTATTGTGCAAAGTTTGGTGCACAAAAATTGGTATTTCCACATAATTTAGTGGCATTTGTCATGAAATGTTTTATTCCGTGGAAGTGTCTGATGTATCCGTGTTTCCTTATCAGGAAAGGAAGGAGTTGATGAAAGGGTCTTACCGGGATAAACACTTCAACGCAGGATCGATATTGTTAGCTTTCGGAGTTTTTGAGTCGGTTGGTGGAGGACTCAACACTTGGTTTAGGACAGGAAAGCTATTTCCAGGTCCCCATTTGTTTGCTGGAGCAGGTAAAGTTTGTATTTCTGCTTGGAAAGCTCAAACAGATAATTCTAAGAAATCATGTGCCCGAACATCACAAGTAAAGGCGTCATTGACCTTAGTTGGTTTTCCTTGTTGTCAACAGCTATCACGGTGCTATGGGCAGCGGCGGCAGCTCTTACGCCTGCAATGCAAAAGGGAAGTGAGACAGCCAGAAGCCTTCACATTGCATTGAATACGATAAACGTTCTGCTTTTCGTATGGCAAATACCTACTGGATGGGAGATACTTCTGAGAGTGTTTGAGTTCACTACATGGCCTTGAATTGCAGACATTCCAAAGGGTGAGATTATTATTTCAGCTACCATCTGCACGCCCAACCTATGTTCTTTCCCTTTTTCCTCTGCTAATTTTCATAGCCTTGTGCCTAAAATTATCTTCATTAGGTGCTAAGAATTACTTTTAAGCATTGGATGCCGTGTCCATTCCAGTTAATTTTTTGTATATGTTAAGGAGAATTTCACTCTATGCTTTACAGTGCCACAAAATACACTAAGATATATTTCCCTTGCCTAGTACCGATTTACGTTTGAGAGCAGAGTATTGACTGACTACCGTAACGACATTATATTCTTTTTTTCGATTTCTTACCCTTATGTTCAACCTTCATTCGAAATCATCAACGATGAAATGAACGTGTAGTGTGTTTCCTTTAATATCTGCAGCATTGGGAATGGCTTGTTTCTTCCTAGTATCCAAAGAAACTCCGGAACCAACGTAATCTTCTGCATTCATGTTCATAGTTCACTTCATTTCCTCCTGACACGCTTCTTGTTCTAGCTAAATCACATAAGTCGGCACAGTTGAATCTGCTACCAATCGAGTGCAAAATCATTCCATTGTAGCATATTGGTAACCATTTTTACTCTTTACTGCTTGAAATTAGTTTTCAATTTATGAGCATATTTACATCTTTTTTTCTACTCTCAATAACTAGGCTGTGAATGTTTATGAATGAGAGTTTATAATCTTGCAACGCAAGAACGACAAATAGCTAGAGAGGTGGAAATATGACATCTGAACTACGTCGTTTCTTCAAGCAGGGTTACCGGATACATAAATGAGTAGGTTCAAGGTATCAAGGTATAACGTACGTATAAGGTATTCCTAGCATGCAGATGCAGTTTGTGCCTTTCCCTCAGATCAAAGGCAAGGATATTAGGTTATATTCCGAAGGGTGAACTGCCACTTTAGTCTCTAATATTATAAAAATTTGCCAATTACATCTTTAATATTAGATTTAAAGCTACTATATTCAATTTTTTGTCAATTTAAGTCATGTTACTTGCATGTAATATATATTGTAGGGTAGATTAGTAATTTTTCATAAAAAAATAGTGTATGGAGTTAGCTTTGAATGATACATTAGACGTTAGATTCGTAGCCTATATGAAATGTTTAGAGCTTATAGGCGAGAAAATGACGGTATTACACTCTAAAGTGCATCAACTGACTTAAGTTGATGATAAATTGGATAAAATAGCTTTGAATATAATATTAGGGATAAAATTAGCAATTTTTAATGAATTTAGGGACTTAACTTACCGAAAAAATAATTCAATGACCTAATTTTCACTCAGGTAATTCAAGGACTAAATCGGCACTTCACCCTATTCCAAAATAATGTAGTATCGGAGAAGTTCCTAAAGGATGTTGGCTTAAAATTATGTTATACTTTGCCTAATTCCATTACCACTTCTATACATTTCAGGCATTGTACATATGATCACATTTTAGCCATCACATCAGTTAAAAAAAAGGGATTTATGGAAGTTTGTAGGTCTTATATTCCATTTCTATGAAGGGCAGGGTGCATTGTGACCGTCTCAGTGGGAGTTTTTCTCGTCTAATTAGACAAGTGGTACTTGTGCCCTGAATTAGGGGTGGGTTCGGTTCCGTTTGGTTCGGTTTTTTGCGAAAACTGGAAATCGAACCGAAATTACTGTTCGGTTCGGTTCGGTTCGGTTTTCTATCGGTTTGTGTTCGGTTCGATTTGTATTCGGTTCGGTTTCGGCCCGGTTCTGTGTTTTTTTTTTTTTTTTTTTTTTTTTTTTTTGCTTTTTTCCCCAAGTAGCTTAAAAAAAGTATATGAAAACAACTTGCATCCATTTTGTAATAAGTCCTATTTCAACATAATCGTCAAGATTCAAAATAAGCATTCCAAATTTCTAATCTAATCATAGTCTCAACTCAAAGACAATGAAAATAAACATTCAATTCAAAGTTTAATTATAATCAAGTGTTCCAAAGTCCAAAGTTAAATAAGCATCAAAGTTTAAATCTTCCAAAAGTCCAAACTTAAAATAAACATCAAAGTTCAAGTATTCCACATCTAAAAGACTAAAATAAACATTCCAAATTTCAACTTTCAAGTGCCCCACAATGAGAGTGATCCACGTACTTTTTCAACGACAATTTGCTTGCTAACGCTTGGGTGGCCTAAGGGGCAACATATCACCTTTTTTTGAACTTCCACTTGCCATTTCTACATAGAAATAATAAAAGAAAAGATACTAATTAAAATGTTATTTAAAATAATCTAACAAAATCAAATGCAATAAAGGTTTAAGGGTTTTGTTAAAAAGATTAAAAAATTAAAAATAACCTCACAAATCCTGGAGGCATGAGGGTTCGAACCCATGCCTCCAGCTTGTAAAGTTTCATTGAAACCAACTTGGCAACAAGTTCTGTTTTGTTATGATTGTATGACTAAACTATTTATAAATATTCAAAAAAATTATATATATATATATATATCGGTTCGGTTCGGTTTCCGAGCCTCAAAAACCGAAACCGAACTAGTCAGATTCGATTCGGTTCGGTTTGACAATTTCGGTTCGGTTTTTTTGCGGTTCGGTTTTTTTCGGCCTTGGTCCGGTTCAGTTGTCGGTTTTTTTCGGTTTTCGGTTTTTTGAACCCACCCCTACCCTGAATTTTAATTTTAACCAATTACCTCCTGAATTTTTGTGATTGACGAATTTACCCCTAAACTTTAATTTTAGTCGATTATCTCCCTGAATTTTTACAATTGGCCAAGTTCTCCTTTGGAGTTAGATTTTGAAAATTTTCATCCAATTTTTATCCATCTTAGTCACGTGCGTTGTGCACAGCACATGGCAAAAGTAATTACTCATCTCAACAAATTCATTATTAGAAACTAGTCAAGTATAAACGTTTAAGGAGTAATTGGCTAAAATAAAGTTCAATAAGAAATTGGCCAATTAAAAAAACTCAGAGGATAATCGGCTAAATTTAAAGTTCAAGAAAAAAATTGGCAAATTATAAAAGTTCAAGGGTATTTGACTAAAATTAAAATTAAAAAGGAAATTGACCAATTATAAAAATTGAGTAACTAACTAAACTTAAAATTCAGAGAAAATTTGACAATTTCTTACAAATTCGGGAAGAAATCGGCGAAGACAATGGAGTTTGACAGAACTGTCGTCCAAAGTACCTAGTTAAAAAGAAAACGAAAAGGCAAAGACAGATATTCTTACGGGCATCACAACCTTTACCTTTTACTCCCTACTTTTTCAATAGTGGGAATCAGTCGCCATCTGAACATTGATTTTTGCTTCTTGAGCAACTAGAATGCTGTCTTTCTTCATCTGCCCCATGCTCTCCAGAGTCTTTAGTTAAAAAAGGAAGATTGTGGGGCTCTTTAGTCATTACGGTTAATGAGTCAATTTTATTTATATGTAAATAACAGCATAACACGCATACAAAAATAACAAAACTAAAAGTTCAACAGACATGTTAAATTGTAATTTGGTGGTAAGGAGAAATAACTCCAAACAAGAGAATAAGATGCCTCTTACTTTCCGCTCAAGGGATTTAACCAAAGAACAATACTTGGTTACTTAAAGATGAAACTCTTACTCAAAACTCTTATTGTTTTAATCATTGACTTTTGTGCTTATGATCAGAACTGTTCATTGTCACATCCCAGCCCGGGCCCCCACCACAACTCGGGCTTGACTCCACCATAGTACAATATTGTCTGTTTTGAGCCCCGACCACGCCCTCACGGGTTTGTTTCTGGGAACTTACACGAGAACTTCCTAGTGGGTCATCCATCTTGGGATTGCTCTTGCGCGTACTCGCTTAACTTCGAAGTTCTTATGGAACCCGAAGCTAGTGAGCTCCCAAAAGGCCTCGTGGTAGGTAGAGATGAGAATATAGGCTTACATTCCCTGGGCAATGTGGGATGTTACAATCCACCCCCTTAGGGGGTCGACGTCCTCGTCGGCACACTTCCGGCCAGGGATTGGCTCTGATACCAAATTGTCACATCCTGGCCGGGCCCTCACCACAACCCGTGCTCGACTCTACCGTAGCACGATATTGTCCGCTTTAGGCCCCGACCATGCCCTCACGGTTTTGTTTCTAAGAACTCACACGAGAGCTTCCCAGTGGGTCATCCATCCTGGGATTGCTCTCGCGCGAACTCGCTTAACTTCGAAGTTTCTACGGAACCCGAAGACAGTGAGCTCCCAAAAGGCCTCGTGGTAGGTAGAGATGGGAATATAGGCTTACAGGATCCACTCCCTTGGGTGATGTGAGATGTTACATTCATACTATGAATCACACAGTAAATATCATCTCTACAAAAAATAAATTAAAATTAAAGACGTTTAGTCAATTTATTGTAGCAAATACATAGACGGTTTGTAATGCTTTTACCAATACCATTCATTTATTTTTAAACAATTTGATGACTAAACAATCTTAGTTTTAATTGATTTTTTGCATATGCGATCTTTATAGGGTGATTTATAATATGAATGGTTCTGATTATAAACACGAATTTCTATAAATTGACAACAAACAATTTTAAATTGGAGTTCTTACTCATCTTTGAGTAGCCAAATATTGTTCTTAACCAAAATAACCAGCCGTACAGTAATGAAAGGCCCTTGGTGAGTAGAAGAATCTAATGAGACAATGAAGAGAAATGAAAAGTGATAGAAGAAGCAGCCAACAATAGCACCACAAGCAAAGTCAAGTGCAAGACGCAGACGTTAATTTATTAGTGCATGGGACATTAAATCGTCAGAAGATTTGAAGAATCAAATTACAGTGAGAAATGAGAATAGTAGTAATGTTTTACTTTGTTTTGTGATCGTTAAGAATGTAGAAGAATCCCAACAACGTGTACTTAGTGCGTCTTTTTGCTGTTAGCCAACATTTAGGACTCATGAGAACCGCAGAGGTCATATGCTATTGCAATTGCTAGCCAGCCCATTCTTCAATATAATCAACAAAGTGAGCCGCCAATTGCACATTCGAAACTGCATCTATGAAAATGACAATTGAGGTGACATCAATAACTTAGAAGGTCATATTTTCTTGTTAGATTTATGTTGTCAGAATGTGTATTCGATCATACATTTAGGAAACGCATCGACGTAAAAGAGTTTAGATTGTATTGATAACAGAAACGAATAATCACATTCCCATTCACAATATATATAATCACATTCAAAATTAGCTCCACATCAACGTAAAAGAGTGATTGTATTGATAACAGATAACATAAATAAATATAATCACATTTTCATTCGCAATATATATATATATATATATATATAATCACATTCAAAATTAGTTCCACACTCTTTCGTTCTCTCATAGAAGAAGAGTGTGTGATTGTCTTTTTGAATCGCAAATAAGATTTGATAATGGACATGCTAATATTAAAACTGAAGAGCGCATTAACTCCACGTAACAACGTTATTTGCATCCCCCTAGAAATGCACAAGGTGTTTGGGGAAGGCAATCGTAGCACTTTATTGAACAATATTGCATGATGTTAGAACATTTCCATTAAAAAACTTGGAAATTGGTGAATTAAAACTGGTTTTAATCCCTATGCGCCTCCGGGTAGAAAAATGGGAGTTCATTATGATTTGTTTTTGCTCTAATGGGGGAGCTAAATGAGGGTTCCCAAACTTGAAGATGTAAAAAATGTGTTTTAACAACCCCGGCGAGTTGTTTACGTGCTTCTTTTCTCTTTCGGTTGAAATTTAACCGGTAATAAAAAGTGCTAAAATTGGTGGTAGCTCTCATAACACCTAACATTGGTAATGTTCTTAAACATTTGTGCTAATTCCAAATTTCAATGAAAAGGTATCTGACCTTAGACAAACAATTAATTAAAAACCAGAAACGGTTGGGTTAAAAAGTAATTGATTTCATAACAAAGAGAGATGCTATTCTTGCAACACTCAAGCACTGAAGACCTGTATCCCAAGAAGAAGAGAACATTTTGGAAATAAATGGTATAATTTATGTTGCCAATTAGCTGTCAATTAATATTGTTTATCAAGTAGTGTAACAATAATTTCTCCATTAACATTGTTGCAGATATTGCTTTTGGTTCAAAGAATCCCCTTATGACAAAGAAGGAGGTCATCCCACACAAAAAAAAGTACAAAAAAATTAATAAAAAGCTTATCCAAAAATTCTTAAACAACCATTTTTATAATTAAGAGCACATTTTTTTATTATTATTAAGGACACTTTTTTAGGGGTTGCTACTTTTTTTTATTAATTGATACCAATCTTCCAATGTCAAATTTAATTTGTTGCTTTTTCCCTCCACAAAAGAGCTCAACTACTTCAAGTGGCTCTTCTGCACCTGATGCCTTTCTTTCTGTTCTCAGCATGTTTCTCATGACCTTTTTTTATTTTTTATTTTTTATTTTATTATTTCAAATTTCTCCCATAACATTTTGTGTCAAATCCTGAAATTGCTTGTACTTAAACTTGTCCCAACTATAAATACAACACACACATCAACTTATATCTCATTGTTTCCAATCCCTATGTTTCTTCATTTGTTCTAAGTTCAATTTTATTTGGGTTACATTACTAATCTAGAATTAGAAATACAATCTTGTCATCAACAATGGCATCCCAACCTTCTCGTCCGTGGTTCCGGCTGGGCTCCTTTGTCCGTCCGGTCAGCACCCCAGCCCCTGCCCCAACTCCTGCGCCCGCCCCCGCCCCCATGGTTATACCTTCAATGAGGCCAATAGCTCCTGCTCCTGAGCCTACTCGTCCACCTACCACCACTGCTCTTCCACCGCCCCCTCCTCCTGCCGCAGTGGCACCACCACCTGACGCCACTGCTCCGCCGTCACCACCACCGCCTGCAGCTACTCCATCACCTCCCCCTCCTCCTCGTGTGACTACTTCATCAGTTCCGTCATCACCAGTAAACAAAGCATCAGTTCCGTCATCACCAGTAAACAAAGCTGCATCTTCTTCAGTGCCATCATCTCCTGCAACCAGGGTTTCTGGAGCCCCATCATATTCAGGGGTACCTTCTCCTACTAGAACCAAAGCCACTACTACTTCAACTACTACTTCTGTGCCAACTTCTCCAGCCAACAAACCACAAACTCCCAGCACTTCTCCGCCAAAACCTGCCATCTCCGCTACAAATTCTCCTCCATCTTATAAACCACTCCCACCACACACTTATTCTCCACCAAAACCCACCACCATTTCATCCACTGCTAGGGAGGCTAATAATTACAACAACCAATCTCCCAAAACCATCGGGCCGGCCGTTAATCAAACCCCACCTCCTTCACCAAAGCTCAAACAAACCGCCCCACCGCCATCTCCTCTCACTCTTCCACTATCTCAGCTAAGGCCGAACACTTCAGATAATCAAACTGACCAACCCAAGTTTCCCATTGAGGCGCAGAAGACAGTGCTGGTCCAACAGAAAACCATTGATCAACAGAAACCCAATTCATGGTTCAGCAGCTTCATCTCCGGAAACTCGAAAGGCGAAGACTTTCGCGAGTCCCCGAAGCCTAGCAATAAGTCCCTCAGCTCAAAAAACGAAGGAGAAACAAAAGAGAGACTCATATCTCACAAGAAGTCTCCGTCTAGTTCCGATCACGAGGCAGCTGGCATGAGGGTTATCACCGTTGCAGGGGAAAATAGAGGAGCGCTCATGGAACTCATAAAATCTCCAAAGAAACATGGAAGTGGGGAGCACTCTCATCACATTCACAAGAAGGGCAATGGCAAAACCCTAATGGGGAATCAATCTGATCAGAGCAGCTACAGTGGCAGCGAAGAAGGCAAGCACAAAAGCAAAGATAAAATTCACAGAGCAGGGAAAGCTGCAGCATCAAAGCCTACAAGTGCCTTCATGAACAGCAATGTTCAAGGAATCAACAACTCCATTATATACAACAGTTCTCTCACTCACCATGATCCTGGGGTCCACCTAGCTTTCTCCGGGAAGCCCAACGGAGAAGGGTTTGAGGCCAAGAGCCACCATGCCAATGGCCTCAACAGTTAGACTGAGAGAGAGAAAAAGTGATGAGAGATGATAAAAAAAGATTATTAAATTCAAGTGTCAAACACTATGCTTTTGTGTTTTGAATATATTAGGGTTATATGGAAATAACTTCTGGTGATATAAGAATAAAAATGGAGGTCGTGATGTCAGTGTTGGGAAAAAGAGGGCATGGGATCTGCTCTGCTTTGTACGTCTTCATGGTCAGCCTTCCACTACCCATTGATGGGGGTGGGAGTTTGACTGAAGGTTGTTGATCAATGCCTTTGCTTTGATAATAAAACGGGCTGTTGCCCTCTTTATGAATATCACAATGCTATCAATTCCTATCACTTGAGTTAGTGTTACTATTCCATTGTAAATTTAGGCTTTGTACCGTTCTTGTAAAAATTGGCTCGTTATGTTTTGAGCGACCTATTGATGGAACGAAGAAGTTCGTTGAATGAGAGATTAGTCATAAGACCATACGCAATTTGACTGATTGGTTCAATCCGTGACTTTTAGAGTTTCAAGGCTTGTCAGAGCGACCAGTCGACAAGCTAAGCTTGTCGGAATATAATGCTAAATTCCCAAGTTACTATTTTTCTAGTTATTTTTTTTGTTTCTTATTTTCGAAAGTCATTTCCATTTGAATTTGAACAATCACTGATGAGTCGATATTATATTATATATATTTTACCCTTATCTTAGTATTAATTTATTAATTATTTTGTGTGAACTTTGATATTTTATTATGTATTTTCAATGTATGACATTTGACTTTCTCTGGAGCAAAATGTGATCAAATGGACGAATTTTGGAGTGATTCAAATTGGAAGACGTTCATGTGTCTCTCAACTTGTTTGTATCAAAGTTTCATAAATGTTCTACCTAGTGGTTTATTTATGATGATGAAATAAAGAAGCAGCATGTAGTGTTGTTGAAGTGACGTTTTGCGTTTATTTGGGCTTTTTGGCATCCAAGATGATGTCTCTTGGATTCAAGGCCTTCTGCAATTATGTCTAGGGGACATCTCAAGCTTTAATTCAAGTTGTTTTGGGCCTGTTTGAGCCCTGGAAGTCCAAAAACATGGCTGATTTGTGACTGGGCAGATTTCCCAAAGTTAGAATAGGAATGTATTTCCTGCTTATCTTATCTATTATGTTTTCTAGCTTTTAGAAGATATTTTTCTAGTAAGGATTTTAATTATGTAGTAGTATAAATAAGGCTTTTTAGCCATTAGGGTTTTTTAGGGGAGAGGAAGGAGAAGAACGCATAATATTTTGGAGAACTTTGCTAGGCTTTGATGATTTGTATTTCAAGGTGTTTTCTATCCTTATTTTTAATAATATTTTGTTTTATGATTGTTTGTAACTAATTCCGTTTGTTAGGGGTGAGGCCATGAGCCTTAGCAAGAATATATAGTTTCTTTTCAATTTGCTTATGATATTATGCATGCAGGTTTTGAATTATTAATCACTGTTTTAAACTATCTAATTTTCTTAATGCTTAGCTACCATTAGGGTGTTTAGAAAAGTAATTTGATGCAATTTTGGTCGGAGGTCAGTCCCTGAAATTGACGAAGGCTTCTTGTGGTTAATATGTGCAATTTCACTTAGGATGAATACCACGTCTTAAGGGTTATATGGTTTTTCAAAAGATTTCACAAAGCTTAATGAGTTATGCATGTTTAGACTTGATCTGAATACCCTAGACAGGTTGCATGTTTAAAATACGCTCTATGTTGAGAGTCCAAGTAGGCATACTTTAGGAAAACCTAACCTTTAAAATATGCATGTGTAATTCATAAGTAATTGGAAGAACTACATAGGATTCTTAAGGTGACGGCGGAACCTTAGGCTTTTACAATTTAATTTTCGAAAACCATTTTCTTTTAGTTTATTTTATTTTGTCACTTTATTTAATTATTTTCTATTAAATTCGTTTTTATTATTTGAAATCACAAAATCACCTTTTTCTAAAACTTTGTTTTAAGTAATTAATTAACATTTGGTTTGATACAAATTATTCATTCAATCCCTGTGGAGAAGGACCTTACTAGAGTCATCTGTACTACAATTACCTTATACTCTTGCAAGTATTTTAATGTTTTTTATCCCTACTTTTACAGGTGATAAAAATCCTATCAATCACAATCTTGTTAATGAATGGTTATAACTTATTAAATATCATTTCATTCAAATAAAATAATTAATTCTAACAAACAAAATTTTAAACAGAGAAAAACCTCATGATCCAACAAGTACGCATGCGTGGAGTGACATGCCCAGACATAATTACTCTATTTGATCTTCATGTTGAATTAGAGAGATTTTCATGAAAGGAAAAATACGAAATAAATTGTGTTTGCTTCACGACACAAACTTGTTTCATGAAGCAAACAGTTTTGCTTAAGATAGTATAGCTCGCATTAGGGTTTATCATTTTCCATTTAGCTTCTTACATTTTGAATGGATGGCTTGTAATTTTCTTATGCTTACATTATACATTACATCATTTTTTAAATTGAAATAGAGTGTCAATGACGTTATATTTTTTCCTTTTACCTTATTGATAAACAATGACGCAGAATCTGAACTAGAATTTTCTAACATTAGAAAGAAAAGTAGCACTAAACTTATAAACCAAGATATATGCCTCATTTGACGTATATGATTTGATTAAATTATTAATTTAAATTGGATTAAACTTATAAGACAAAAGAGGTTCAAATGAAGAGAACAAAATGTGAATAGGGCTTGAATCCATGCTAGTGATTTGGTATTCAAAAAGTTGACATTTTTTTGGGATGAATGTGAAGCCAAGGCCCAAAACAAAGAACTTAACCCTACAATATGATCACAACCTGAAGTAAAGTATACACTTGGGAGGGGTCAAAGCCTTTGCAACCCAAATCAAAGTCGTAGCTGAAATTGGGCATTGCACAGAGCCTAGCTAGTTACCAAAACAGTTCGACTTCATTTTGGGTATTCTTGGTGTGTTTTGTATTGAATACAATTTGAATTTAGGGTAATATTTTGAGCCATATATTTATCTCTGTCTCCATTCAGGAAGCATGACAAAAATGGTTAGATACTTTTTGTAATTTCATTATTTTTCATATTGAAAATGGGAGTACATACATGTAGTGATAGAGTGGCCACCAAGGCACTACCTACACGTATAAAGTATAATTGTACAGAACATTGTACTGAAATATATCCCATTATTTTCTTTTCATTTTTTGACTTGCATGGATCCCACTAAATTCTTTAGGCATAAACAATCCAATAGAAATGGGTCAAAATGTGTTATATACTAGCTCCCTTATTCATGTATTTAACCTGCATATCAACCATTGGCTTGCTTATGATATGGCATGTTTGCAGTGGGTCTATGTGTTGTGTAAAGTCGTTGCATGATAGATATGATGCATCAATTTTATGGTCCTAGTTAGCTTATCAATTTCTGGTAGTGCTAAAAGAACTTTCCATTTCCTCTTTTGTAAAGCAAAAATAATTATGGGAAAAAAAGAAGAAGGGATAGGCTTTCCCAAGTAACCCCCACCCCAAAACTCTAAACTCCAGTAAAGAAGAATATGATCTACAATCTATTCGACCATTCATACTTCAACATAAATTTAATCATGCAAATTATAACTTTTGTGATATCACCATGGAAACATTGCCCGGCTCTCAATTTTTTCTTAAAAAGAATTATTTATGCTCTCCTTTTTCGTTTAAAAAATTTCAACTTTTATTGTTCCAGTGATCAGAAAAGGACTTTGTAAGAGGTGGGATGCCAAAAGTGAGATGCTCATGTATGGTCCCAATAAAAGTTTAAGTAGTGGTGGTTTGGCCACTAATGCATGGATTTGCATGGTTGTAAGAATTAACTAATGTGACGTGAAGAGCCTTGGGTGCTAAATTAATCATCATCTGTCTTAGGAAATCCCCAAGGTCATCGTAAATATTTATCGATCAGTTGTTAAACAAAGCATATGATTAACCTCATTGGATGCCTACACTGCATTTGATCTCAATGTACTTGTACCGGCATGATAGAATAACTGTTATATGAGTGTTGTACAAATTGTTTCTCACCCTCCGAACTGTACGTAAAGTTTTCTCCAATGAGATGAGTTATGTAGTTTTTTGACGAGCACATGTGCATAATGTTAGTTGCTGTCATGAATCTTTAGCAAATAGTAGGTTGCATTAGTAACCTAATAGATATACGTCAGTGGGACATTTTGTAGGAAATAGCACATGAGAAAAGTCAGATTGATTTGAAGTGGAACATGAATTTCTATTATATATGAAGATTAGCCACATTTTTTGGTTTCCTTTCCTTAACCTTTCCTTGTCTGAACCCCACATTCGAAAGATAAAAACATGATAGAGGTTGCTTTAAGAAGAATCCGAAGCATTTTATTCAGCTTTAAGGAGCACTCAGAGACCAAGAAAGCCTATTCTTTCTTTTAATTTGCTAGCATCCGAAATTGGTTTTAGGCTTCTAGCTAGCCTTCGGAATAAGCAAACAATTTGCAAATGGCCAAGACAGAACTCATCTGATTCTTCTATGTCCTTGTTTCCCTTTGGCCAGACCCTTTTGGGAAACCTCTTCCAGCTAAAGCTTTTCAATCCCCCAGAACATTCCAATTTTGAATGTCTTATTTGCCCCCATAAATTATCTGGCCAACTTGTATTTCCTTCCTCATACCAAAGAAAACATAAATCAGAAGGCCAAACTGAACAAAGATCCTATGCATACGTATAATTATCCTAATTTTTTCTCTAATCTTAAAAGTAAATAAAATTATAGAAGGCATGAAATCTTAGAGTAAATGACAATTTTGAGCCGCAGTTTGATTTCGATTTGAGTCCAGTCCTTGTCAATCAAGTCCTGTAGTTTATTAGTTTAACTTGGTGATACTTGAGCAAATGAAAAGGCACACTTGGTCAAATCCCCCATCAACTTTAATTCTCCAAAGGGATACATTTGAGACCACATGAAACACAAAG